TATATCTTTACGATATTGATTTTATTTGAATTGTTATTTTTGATTTATACTTTTTAGTATTAGTATTTTACACTTTAATTTAGTTTTTCTTTGATTAATAATGGCTTCACTTATTAATCGTTATAAATTTTTTAATTTATTTTATTTTTTTCTTTATATTTTTACCCTTTTTTCAAATTACTTTTGTAATTTAGATCTTTGAACACACAATATCTGTAGATATTGCCATAGGTCTTAGAAATCTTTACTAATATTTATAATTCATTCTCTTTATTTAAGTTTATTCACCCCTCTTTAAACATCATATATTTATAGTGATTCTCAGTGAAACCCACTATCCAGAATCACTGTAACAATATTCTTGTAATTTTTTGTATTATATTCATTATTTTTTATAAAACATATAAAAAATAATACAGATCTATATTTAATATTTCTTAATATTTTGCCAAATAGATTAGATATAAAATATAAATCACATTATTAATTTAGATACACATTGTTTTTAATTTCTTTTATTTTGTATTCATTATTTTTAAATTTATATTAATTACTTTTTATTATTATTTATATTTTATATATATCTAATTAAGTATAATATAACTTGAAAATGCATTATCTTTAAAAATAATTTAGAACTAATTATTCTTTATTTTATTATTAATTTATTTGTAATTTATTGAACATTAATTATGTATTTAAATATCTTTGTTTTGTACTATAGCTCTTTAAATCTTTTTACTATTTAATAAATAAAGAATAAGTTTATTAAAATTGAATCTAAAAATTATCTCAATTAATATAATTTATTTATAATAATTAATAAATTTATCTTAATACTTTTCATGTAAGAAAATATTCTTATAGTCAAATTCAAAGTTTTGTACAGATTTTGAACCTGAAGATCTGTACAAACTGCACTCTCAAAAATTTTTTGATGTTATATATTATATATTTATTATATTAAAATTTCAAGTAATTTCAAAAATATAAAAATATAAAAATATAAAATTTAGCATCAAATCAAAATTTATGTAAAAAAATTATTTATAAAAATACAAATATTTTTGTATTCAGTGAACCAAATTAAATAAAATTTTATAATAAAGTTACCAAGTCAAGATATATTTAATAATATTAAATTATCCAATTTGAATTACTAGATACAAAGATATCATATCTCAAAAATACTGTACAAAAATCAGAATAAACATTTTAAAAGAAAATTTTTAAAAAAAATATTTTTATGAATATTGCCATATCCAATAAATCAAATTGAATGATTTTGATATTATTAGATTCATTTAGTCAAGGCAAACCTAAGGATATCAAAATTATCTAATTTAGTCCATTAAATGTGGAAATGTGGAAATGTTCAAAAAGCTGCTTTTTTCAAAAAATTTTATACTGATTTGTACGTTATCTTTGAAATGAAATATTTCTGCATCTAATGATCCAAATTGGGTGATTTTGATATTATTAGATGTATCTTTACTTGGTAAATTTGTTGATAAAATTTTATTTAATTGGTTTACTGAAAATGAAGATATTTGCATTTTTAAAAAATTAAAATATTTTTCACATATATTTTGGTTTGATATTAAATTTTTATCTTTTATATATTTTTTCTAACTAGTTATTAATTACTTGAAATTTTGATATATTGTACAATAAATCTATTAGCTTAGAACAACAAATCGGAGGGTTTTTTTTAGTGGTTTTTGTGTTATTATATTTTAAAAAGTGTCCACAATATTCCGCTAGGTCACTGTAGTTATTTTTAGCTTAAATCGACTGAATCAAAAGAACTTTCTCCATGGCAAAATATTCAAACTTCGCCATTTTTACTGTATTCCATTTCTTTGTAAGTCACAGATAAAAAATAAGGGTGCTTTTAAATCAAACCCAACGGTGTTTAAAATTATAGCATTAATCCTAATCTCAGTCATACACTATTATAATAGTCACTGGCATTTACCATGATTATCTTTAAATCAACAACATTATACATGTATAAAAGAATAAAATCAGGAAAAATACTAATCAATTAAAAGAACACAAAAATCAATAAATAACATTATATAAACAATAAACAATTAGGAAAAATACTACTAAAAGAATACAAAGGAGATGCTTCCATATTCCATTTACATATATTCGTTCTAATCAGAAAGTAAGAAATCCTAATAATAGGAAAGTTAAATAGAATCAAATTGGTTTTTTTGATGATGGTTGTAGTTATGTAACAATAACGATTCCGTTTATCGCTATTGAAATTATCAAAAAGAAAACCCAGCTAGACGAGTTTAAAATAGAGAAAGAGACAAGAAGTATAAATGAGCGTGATAGAAAGTAAGCTGAACACTGAAAATGAGCAGGAATTATTTAAAAAAAGCAGAGAAAGCCAAAAAAAGAGGCGAGGAGCCACCCAAAATTATAAGATTTAGTTCAGAAAATTGTTTTTTGTGGAAAAATTCTTGCTACCAGAGAATTAGAAAATGAATTCAATGCCGAATGTCTTGAATTCGTCCAAAAGTGATAATAATCATTCGAAAATCAAAAATCGTCAAAAGATAGTAAAAACCATAATCAAAGTGGGAATTGACGGTGTATAAGTTTTTCCGATTTAAATTCAATAGATAGATCCATCAGTAAGTTTTTATGTAGGATACGAAATTTAGTTGATTTTTATTGGTCAAGAAAGAAATAAATAAATAAAAGAAATTAATTACAAAATTTAAGGAGATAAAAAAGGTGATAATATAAGCAATATTAAAAAAGAGGGAATTGAAAAAGAAATAGAACTGATTAGTTAATATCTAACACTGTTAATCGTGAACCCATTTATTGTTATTGAGGTTGTTGTTGTTGTTAAGATGGTTGTTGTTAAGGTTATAGCTGTTGTTAAGGTTGTGGAGATTGTTGTCCATCTCTTCTCCAGCACCAGCACTGACACTGGTACCGCACGCGAACAAAACTAACGCTACGACACCTCCTAAGACACCTCCTACAACACCACCTACAATTTTTGAAGCAGAATTTTGAACTTTGTTGGGAACTTTATATATGCTAAGAGCAAAAGGGCCGCCACAAATCTGAGAGCTATTACCCACACAACTAGTACTACATTGCTCGTCAGGTGCACCACTTGCTTGACCATTTACAGTGTAATCATTACCGCAAAAACATTGATATCCGTCTTCCAGGCCAGCATATTTAAAATTATTTTGATTGCAAAAATTTATGCAGTCATCGATTTTCATGGAATTTCTCACTTGAGGTGGTATACCATTTAAGGTACGACAAGAAGGACCATCTTGAAAACATCCTTGATAGCGAAGGTCACTATTCTCAGAAATCAGCACTAGTTTTTTAGCAATACTAATGTTTTGACCATATGAGTAGTGGGTACTAGTAGTGGTGCTATAAACTTTAAAAGCATTTTCTCCACCACAAGTGAAAGTTGGGT